CTCCATTAGTTTGCTTTCCTCTATTTCTTTCATTTGTGGCATGTTTCTTTGTCTTCACATTTTTGGCTGACTGCGAGGAGCCACTGTGTCTATAAGAAGAACTGTTGTGCTGGAGACACCCTTATGCGGTAGGACTTGCTTCAGTGGGGCTTTGGTGCTCACTGAGTCTGCTTCTTGAGTATGTCCCTTATAGATGTGAGGAGTTGAAGTCTAGTATCTGACCTGGAGTACCCTGGCTCCTGGATTTCCAAGTCAACCACTGTATGGGTCCACCCAGCAGGGGCTACAGCAATATCAACAGATTTCTCCTCTTTGTTTGGAGTTTGGAAGTTTTGGAGCTCTCTGATTCACTTCGGTTCCCTTGCCCTGCTTCGCACAGGTTGGGTGGGGATGTAAATTGAGTGGGGCGGGGTCTCAGAGACTCACCAGGGCGGAGCAAACAGCAATGGCTGTTGTCAGCTGTCTCTGCGACTCCGAGTCTCTGCGTCCCCGAGTCCTGCGTCCCCGCAGCAACAATGATCCCTGTGAGCAGCTCTGTGAGAAAGTCACCCTCGCTTTCCGACCCGCTGCAAGACAGTCCCATTTCTCCCCATAGGAGCCTGGGACCCCAGCGTCTCGCCGTAAATGAGTTCAGTGCATTAGAGAGCTTGTCCCCTTCCAATTGAAAAAAAACCGCGCACCAAGGTGCAGCAGCCTCGCGCACGCCTGGGTACCTCTGTTCTTGGCGCCTCTCCCCTCCTACTCGGACTCAATGCACTTTTTTCTTTCCTTCTAGTTGAAGGACTTCCGCTCGATCAGCTTTCCTGTGGTTCTGGATGATAGCTGTTTTGTCTTATAGTTGTGGTTTTAATGTTGTTGTGGGGGGCAGCACGTACAGGTTTGTACCTTATGCCGCCATCTTGGTTCTCTCCCTGAAGTTATTTTTAAGGTCCACCATGTCTTACTTCTTTTCAGTCGGGTCAAGTTTCTAAGCTTTCTAAATCTCCGTTTTCTGGCTAATGAAAAGAAAATAGGATTCCACCGAGTCTCCTATCTATCTACTCCAGGACTTCTGTGAGGATCAAATGAGATAAGGCATGGGAAAAAGCTTCACTGACATTTGGTTACAGTGTAAAATGTTTCCACCTGACTCTGAAGCAAGTTGTGTTCCTGGGCTGAAGAAACTCCAAGGAGGCTAGTCGCTAGAAGGAGGAAGCCGGACGTTGCTACGTGACATCATTACCTGGACGGACACTTAGCATATTAGCCATATATATATATATATATATGCTATCGCCTTGCCTAACTCTTCTTTCACCTCCAAGTCAGCCCCTCCCCATGCTACTCTCATCCCAGCCCAAGAATTGTGCTAAGAGATTTAAAGATTAAGAGCTTCCTTGCTGTCTCCACCTCCAGTAGGTTCAGGGAAGGAGCAGTGCTTTGGTAGAATTAGAATTCTGGAATAACTTTTTCAGCCCTGAAAATTGGTAAACAACCCCACCCTGTTCTGGACACCTGTGAGGCACAAAAACTGCCCATTGGCCCCCAGCATGAGCAGACAATAGTAGCAGGATCCATAATGAGTGATTCTGTTATATTTTGAAGTTCCCTGGAATAAAGTTCTCATTAAATATGTAAGCCTGTTGCTCACCTTTCACACATTAAGCTTTTAACAGCTTTTAGAATTCCAGGAGCCCCTGGATCATTGCTTTTGGGTGGGGCCTTGTAGGGAGTAGGGGTGTGGACCCCTTGTCACAACCTGCTCTCTCTCACTCATCCTGGAGTCCTACTCACCCTATAATTCATTTCAGTTTGTTCCAAGGAGACCCTAATAGGTTTAGGTTATGTTCTTGTTTTGAATGTGTGCACACTACTAGATAAAAGGGTGTGGTTTCAACTAATGAGAAACTTCTCGAACTAGGTAAGTTATAGAACAAAGTGCAGGCAGTAACTGGAGTTGTGTAATTCCCATCCAGCTCCAACCCTGCTCCTGAGCTCACATGCTGCCCTGGGCTCCCAGAGAGCACATGGTACAGTGGAGTTTTTCTCAGATCACTCATTTGATTTTATGTTTTATGTTTAGGAGTGACAGAAACTTTCCCTTTTTACTCTCTACACTGTCAGATTAGGAACTACAAGTATTTGCCACAAGACAACATAAAATTTAGTTCAGTGATGAAAAATCCATGACAACCTCAAAACATGTTTTCATATAAAGGGCCATTGTGAACCATAAAGTTGCTAATAATGACCTTTCAGTCACTGAGCTCTTTATAGTTTGTAAGAATTAAAGCAACTTCTGCTTCATTTGGGGTATTAAAAATCTGGGCTAGTTCAGAGAATTGTTTTCAACTAAAAAAATTTATTTCAATAGTTGTAAAATATGGAAAATGCCCTATATTCTATATTAAAGCAGAAATGTATTTTTGCCTTATACTGAATTCTTTCTTTCCTCTAGTTCTTACCTATCACATGCAATTATCTTTCTTAAAGTTGTTAGCTTTGGGAGGATGATTGAACTCGCTAGATTTTTCTTTAATTATTAAAAAAATTTTTTAAGCTGCTTTGAAAAATAATGCACATACCACATAATTTGCCAATTTAAAGTATACAGTTCAATACTTTATTATATTCAGTGTTGTACAGCCATTACCACAATCTAATTTTAAAACATTTTAATCACCCCCAAAAGAAACCTCATGCCCAAGTCATTCCCCATTGACCCCATCTCTAGCCCTAAGCAGCTACTACCTCTGTCTCTATAGATTTGCCTGTTCTGGATATTTCATATAAGTGGAATCAGATAATATGTGGCTATATTATTTTCCTTTTTTTTTTTTTAATAACAGATTACCACAAATTGGGTTGCAAAATTTACTTTCTTACGTTCTGGAGGCCAGATATCCAAAATCAAGGGATCAACAGGGTTTGTTCCTTCTGGGGGCTCAGAGGGAAAACGTATTTTATGCCTCTCTCCCAGCTTCTAGTGGTCACTGGCATTCCTTGGCTTATAGATGCATCACTGCAATCTGTCTCCATCTTCCCATGCTGTTCTCCATGTCTGTCTTCATATGGTCTTCTCATAAGGACACCAGTCCTTGGTTTAGAACCCTCCCTTATCCAGTATGATCTCATCTTAACTACTTTCATCTGCAAGGACCATATTTCCAAATAAGGTCACATTCTGAGGTTCTAGTGGGCATGAATTTGAGGGAGGGGGACTATTCAACTCAGGATATTGGCCTTTGTGTTTGGCTTCTTTCACTTAACATAATTTTCTAAGGTTCATTCATGTAGCTTGTATCATTCCTCTTTTATAGTCAGTAGTACTCTGTTGTATGGACATACCACACTTTACTCATCCCTTCATCATTTGATGGACATTTGGGTTGTTTCCACATGTTAGTTATTATGAATATGCTGTTATGAAAATTCATGTACAAGTTTTTGTGTGGACATGTTTCATTTCTCTTGGATCAGACTTGTTTAATTTTTACATCTGTCAATTATGATGTCACTTGTGGTAATAGCTATTAGTTATTAAAATTCTTGTTCATTTTCTGTCTCTTGCATTTGCTTTGCATTTCAATGACCTTTCAGTAAGTCACCTTTGGGGAATTAATTATGTTTTGTGGGGAATAGGCTTTTTTCCTTTCGAACCTGTTGGCATTGGAAAGAAAGCAATCTAGTCTTTCACTTGCTAACCTCTGATTAATGGCTGATTTGTACCCTGCCTTGTTTTTATAATAAATAGTAACATCTGATTGTTTAAACTATTTTGAAAGCACTTTCTCTCTGCTATATCATGTAACCTTCCTTGCAATCCTGGGAGACCTGAGGCTGCTCTTTTCTGGCTGCTAAATTTGGAATCCTGTTGAATTCCTTTTACAAGAGCAATTGGCATGTAACCGTGTCACCAGAGGATGTCCCTCATCCCTCAGTACCACCGATCTGTTGTTTCTAGATTCTCTTTTCTCCAGGTGCAGAGAACATATATTAGCCACAAGGAAGAGCTCAGTAGCCTAAACCAGTGTCCTCAAACTCTAGCCTACATCAGAATCACCTGGAGGGCTTGCTGAAGTGCAGAGTGCTGGGTCCCCACTATAAGTTTCTGATTCATTTGGTCTGGGGAGGGGCCTGAAAATGCATTTCTAACCAGGTTCCCACTGATGCTGGTGCTGCTGATCCCAGGATCACATTTTGAGATAGGCCAAGACAACTAAATGTATTTATCATTTTGGGTAGCCTTCAACGAGGCCTTCTTAAAATTTAATGTGCATATGTGTCACCTGGAGGCCCCTTTAACTGGTCCTGATTCAGTAGGCCTGGGAATCTTCAGAGTTGGTTCTAGCCAGCTCTCAGGTGATGCCAATGCTGCTTTGAGTAGCAGGGTTGGAAGAGTAGCCATATGCTGTCCTCTGCATGGGTAGATCTTTGTTTTTATAATCTAATAACTACATGAAGTAAACTTACCAGGTTTAAGCAGATGTACAGTTATATACCTTATAACAGGTAGTGGAAGGGGACTTTGCAAATCACATGGTTAATTCTGGGAAACAAACTCAGAGGCCAATATGGCCCAAATTAGACCCAAAGAGTACATGGTTTAGACTTGTGTCATAATATTTGGAGTAAATTAAAGTTTTCTAGTGTAATCTTTTAAATGTATGTTTCTAGGTTCTGAAATGAATGTTTACAGGTCCTGTGATTAACCAGAAGAGATTCTTATAGGAATTCTAAATTTATTCTTCTAAATTAATGGAGTTACTTTTTGTTTTTCTTTGTCTCAGCTTCTTGACAAAATAATGTAGACTTGATTGTATCGACTTTAGGGCTTTATTCTGCATATTTTATACTTATTACCTATAAGGATTGTTGAAAACAAAATAAACATTCTATAAAACTAATTTTTAAATTATTCTCTTGGCAGATCACTGACAACCTTGGGGTTGGTTATCTCATCACTGGCTGACCAGGCAGCTGGCAAGGGTAAAAACAAATTTGTGCCTTATCGAGATTCAGTCCTCACTTGGCTTCTTAAGGTAATTCAGCGTCCAGTGTTTTTTACCAACTAAAAATTAGCTGTGTCAGAGGCGACAGCTGAAACGTGTGTGCAAAGCTAAATGTACAATGAACACCTGACAATATTGTACTGCTATCCCAAGTCCTAGGAAGACAGAATGAAAACTAATTTCCATTGCCTTTTATTTCATTATAATGGTTGATGGACATTATTCATTGTTATGAATATAGAGAGACCACATTTCATCTTGTCATAAAATTATTTGTGAAATACAAATCCATTTCCATAGTATCATGCATGCATGTTTACTGCTTTCATCATACATGTTGTGCATGAAGTGCTATTTCCTAAGATGCTATTTGAAATTTTGCAGGACAATTTGGGAGGCAACAGCCAGACCTCTATGATAGCCACCATTAGCCCAGCAGCAGACAACTATGAAGAGACCCTCTCCACATTGCGATACGCAGATCGAGCCAAAAGGATTGTTAACCATGCCATTGTGAATGAGGATCCCAATGCAAAAGTCATCCGGGAACTGCGGGAGGAAGTCGAGAAACTGAGAGAGCAGCTCTCGCAGGCTGAGGTAATGTACATTATAAGGAATATTGTCAATAATATTGTAATAACTATATATGGTGACAGATGAGTACTAGGCGTATTGCAGTGAACACTGTGTAAGGTATATAAATGTCTACTCACTGTATTGTACAGCTGAGACTAGTATAATATTGTAAGTCAACTATAATTTAAAAATAAAAAATCAGCCTGGTGCTCCCTGTTTCCGAAGTTTCTGCCTTGTGATATCTGAGTGGTAAGGACATGCTTTCTTGCAGTTCTAGGTCATCTCCACGTGGCTCAACATTTCAGTGTTGATTGGCGTCTGCTACGTGCTAAGCATTGTGAGGACAACATGAGTAATACCAGACTTCTGTGCTAGGAACCTATAGTGGAGGAAGCAGACAATTAAGAGAGAGTTGTTGCTACTACCGAGTTGTTTGCTGCAGGAAATCAGTGGCCCTTGAGAGCACAGGTCTCTTCCAATGTGAAATCCTAAGAACCAATTGTGATGTTTTATTAAGATTGTAGACAGAATTCCCAAAGGGCTCTGCAGTTTTCAGATAAGTTAGTTGTGTGTCATCTCCACCTTAAGTCATGGAAGATAGCATGATCAAGGATAATTAAATATTAGGAATAATTCAGAAATACATATTTTTAAAATTTATATTAGCTCCTGAGAGGAAACAACATTGTGCATTGTTGCCATCTTTCCTCCACTTTACCCAGACTTTAATAATCGCATCCTCTTCCAAATAGCTGTTGCTTTAGGCAAGTTACCGGGCGAGGCACTGTCCCCTTTGAAATAGGTAGTGTGCCTGAGGGGGAGCCAAGTTCCTTAGGTTAAGTCACATGTGTCCACTTGCCGGATTTGGGTGTGTATCTCAGGCTTCTGAGTTCACATTCCACACACCACCCTCTTCTGGTGGTTGGGAGACTATCAGGGTGGAGTATTTGTGTACTTGTGTACCAGGCACTGTTTAAATACTACTTTTTATCTATTGGCTTATCTAATCACCAAAGTAATCAAAAGGAGATAACACAAAAAGGAGTAAAGCCAGAGATCTGAGTACTCCATTAATTAACTGGCAGTTGTATTACAATTTTTTGTTTACATGTCTTTCTCTTCTCTCAGACTGTGAGCTTCTATAGTTCAAAAAACCTGTTTTATTAAGTTTTTTCATTTCTAATCCTAGTAAAACACTGATAGTGGAAGGCACTTAGCACAATGCCTTGCACATAAGTGCTCAACACACGTTGCTGTTATTATTATCATCGTTATAATCATCAGTCAGGGCATCAAGCATAATGTTTTTCTATTGATGCCATGAAGGGTAGCAAACACCTGAAAAACCAAAATGCTGATAACTTTTGAAGAGAGTACTGATCCTGGGAGGAAAGTGTAATGCGTCTGGAATTTGTTTAAGGTGGATGCTCTACTTTTTTCCTCTAGTCTCTGAATCTGCCATTTCACTGTGACCATGTCATCTAGGCCTGGTGGGTAGCACAGTGTCTAGCCAAAGGAGAGGGGAGCCACAGCAGGTTCACCTAGAACAGGGGTGGGCAACCCCTGGCACGCGTGCCAAACATGGCATGCCAGTAACTTTTGCTGGCACTCGAAACCCTCTCTTATAATCTTCCATTTACAATTTTTTTCTTAATATCAACTTTTTTATTTTTCAGATAAATTCAGTGTAGGTGCATCTTAGATAAATAAATAATTTTACATAACAAGTTATCTTAAAGACCATAGACATGGATTGACGAGACAGGGGAAAAGCAATTTCTATGCCTCTGTCTTAACTCTCCCTGCCTTCCTAAATCTGACCAGTGTTTTGGTTTCATCCACATACGCTTGTGAATCTTTGTTCTCAGTGATGAATTTTGTTAAGTCTCGTAACAGGAGTAGCCTGACGGATGAAAGTAGTAGCTCGTGCATATCTCTGAAGGTCACGAAATATAAACCTGATGTAAAATCTCTGTCATCAGTGATGCAGCAGCAAAAGTCCCACTGATAATATCAAACGGAGTCATAAAGTTTTCTGTCGGACTATCAGTGTGCATGTATACATTAAAAAATAAATGTATTTTTCATCATCATATACTGTGTTTTTGTCGCTCAAATGAATTTTATTCCTTCTTCAAGGTTCTTCACATACGTTCACCTTAAGAGATATCAAGTAGGTGTAACATGTTCTCAAAAAATTAGGGTTGGCACGCAGAAGAATTTTGAGTCAGAGATTTTGCTGGTTTTGGCATGCACTCACAAAAAGGTTGCCCACCCCTGACCTAGAATGTTCCCGTGTGTCTCCAGCACCAAATGTCCCTCTCAGGCTCTATTAATACTGAAACTCAGACATACTCAGCTGTCCTCCTGGTAGATCATCGCCCCTTCAACTTCTGTTCCAAGCTCTTGTTCATAGGGTTCATAGAATTATACTGATGTTATCATAGGATGTCGAAGTGTATTGTTTCAAGTAAAGGCTTCCCAAGATTTACAAGCTGCATATATCTGTATTTAGACCACTTAGTTATTCTCATTGGACAAACTCAGAGGGAAATTACTGCTTTTTTAACCAGATGTCTGGCTTCCAAGTGAATAATAAATACACTAAGTTTATGCCACCAATAAGAAAAGTAGTTTAAAGGGCCTGATTCAAATTTTAAAATAAATGAGAGGAATCTTCACCTTTCCTGATAGGTTAATGTAACTGGAATGCCTTTATTGGTGATGTGCCTTGATCTCTGTCTTATTGAAAAAGAAATCTGCTTAAGTAACCTCTTTTCTTACTTTCTGTTTTGAAGATGAACTTTAGTATCTTTTTAAGTCTTTAAATGCGAAATTTAAGTATAATGGGTAAAATTACTCTGTAATGATTTCTATCAATTTAATTCAGAGCACTAGTATTTCTTTTTCTCCTTTAAATAATAGCAGTCATTTGCCTCTTACATTTCATTTGATTAATCAAGGTCTAAACTCCACCCTGACAGTGTGTGACTTTATTGCTTCCAACAGACTGTTGATAACCGCTTAAGAAAGACAATAAGTGATTGTCTTGTTATAATGGTGGAAAAAAATTAGAAAATCAGATCGCTCTGGTTTCATTTTAAAGGCTATGAAGGCCCCTGAACTGAAAGAGAAGCTTGAAGAGTCTGAAAAGCTGATAAAAGAACTAACAGTGACTTGGGAAGAGAAGCTGAGGAAAACAGAAGAAATTGCACAGGTAGCTTGATAATGTAGGCCTAAAACATTGTGATTTGTTTCCATGTGCTGTCTTTTCTGTACTGTCAGTCACTTGCCATCCTCAAAAAGTCTTTTGAGAACCTCCTTCTGCCGAACTACAGGCTGCAGAGACCAGTTAGACACTGGCTTTATGTCTTTGACCAAGTACAGTTTGGTCCATGCATTTGCTAGAAGTATTGGATAGCACTGAATTTGAACAGGGACGGCACAGGAAATTATTTTTAATATATTTTTATTGATTTCAAAGGGAAAGGGAGAGAGAGATAGAAACATCAATGATGAAAGAGAATCATTGATCGGCTGCCTCTTGCACGCCCCCTACTGGGGATCGAGCCCACAACCCGAGCATGTGCCCTCGACTAGAATTGAACCCGAGTCTCCTTCAGTCCACAGGCAGAAGCTCTATACACTGAGCCAAACCAGCTAGGGCAGAAATATCTTTAATATTTCCTGCTTTTCACATTTAAACAAAAATCTATTCTGATTCTAGATCACTTGGCATAGCACGTGGCTACCTGATTGACAGAGAATTGGTAACATACAGAGCATCATAGTTTGTTCAGTGTATATGATTCTTTGGGCTTGATGCTATCTGAACTTAACCTGAGATAAATATAAAGCAAGGACTAATTCTGCTCGTGTCTTTCCCAATCAAGTAGCTTGAAAGCAGTAACTGGGACCTAGTCCAGCTGTTTACTTATATGTTTCTTATATATATTTTCCTTCTCTCTGTCTCTGTCTCACATATACCTATCTTCCTATCCCTCTTACATTGCTTTATATTTTTCCATAGCACTTAACCCCATTGGAAATTATATATATTTACCCATCTGGTTTTTTTATGGCCTATCTCCTCTCACTAGTATATAAGTTTTCATGAAAGAGGGGGCTTTGTTTTGTTTGCTGTGGTATTCTTAGCCCTGGATCAGTACCTAGTACACAAATGTCTTGAGTGAGTGAGTGAGTGAATGAGTGAGTGAATGGATGAATGAATTCAAAGCCCTCTGCAATAGGGACCCAATTTGCTCTTCCAGCCCCATCTCTCACTACTTTCCCATATTTACTAGGGGTTCTTGGCACCTGAAATCCTCCAGTATTCCCAGAGTCCTTACTATGCTCTTCTGTGCCCTTCCCCCAGAATATCCTGCCCTTATCTTGCTACTCTCTGATTTATTCCTGTTGAAATTCTTCTTACGCTTCAAGAACCACCTTAAGTTTTTTCTCTTTCTGGAGCCTTTCTGGTCTCTTCACCCATCATGACCTCCCTCCTGCAAAGCCCACAGCACCTTCTTCCTCTCTTGTGGCACAGGGTTCTCTCTCCTCTTTTGACTCCAGGTATGTGGTCTTCCCCCTCTACTAGATGGTAAGCCCCATAAGGGCAAGATGGTGTCTGGTTCACCCTTGGTGCCCCCAGAACACTGACACAAGATGTCACACATTTTAGACTGTAAGAAACTTGGTTGAGCTGAGTGGAATGTGTCATTTCATTGGCATTGTCCCCAGAAACAGTGACTTACACTTTCCATGGATACATCTGGTGACTAGAACAACAAATAGAGTTCCCTGTTTTTGTCTGCTTTGTGCACAGGAGAGACAACGACAACTTGAAAGTATGGGGATTTCCCTGGAGACATCTGGTATTAAGGTGGGAGATGACAAGTGCTACTTAGTCAACCTGAATGCAGACCCTGCTCTCAATGAACTTCTGGTTTACTATTTAAAGGTAAGAGGGTATATAAATACATAGCTGCAATCCTGAATCATTCATGTACAATTCGAAATTGAATCTGGGGATCTGTCCCCATGATTTTGATTTTTGTATCCAGCTTCGCCCTCCTTAAAAGTAAGAGGATTCATAGTATGGTCAGGTCACTATTGAGAATGAAAACCAGCTATTGTGTATTTTCCTGAGGCCGTGCAGTTGGGACTGGTTTTCTGGGAGCATGAGCATCAGAGGGCCAGTAATGGGCAACTGGGGGTGTCAAGGTAGGTGATCTCTGGCTGTAGCGACACAGATGCTGACAATATTCAGGTTCAATCACAGAGATCCCGAGAAGTTCTGGAGAGTCAGAGTTAGGCTTCTGAGCAATGCTAAGGCGATCTCAAGATGAACATAAGCTAAAACAAACTCTTGTGGCGTAATGGGCAACTGGGGGTGTCAAGGTAGGTGATCTCTAGCTGTAGCGACACGGATGCTGACAATATTCAGGTTCAGTCACAGAGATCCCGAGAAGTTCTGGAGTCACAGTTAGGCTTCTGAGCAATTCTAAGGCGATCTCAAGATGAGCATAAGCTAAAACAAACTCTTGTGGTAGACAGCTAGGGTTCTTCCATATCTATCTCTTCTAGACATACATCCTCAGAAAATAATGTTTGGTCCCATAATCACCATTTAGTGTGGAGAAGGGATGGGGCCTTTTGAATTTGGCACTTTGGCCCCAGGGTATCCACTGACCATGTTGGATAGCTTACTGTATCCATTCTCAGACTTTCACAACCCATTTACACTCTTTAAAAATGTATCAAGGACTCCAAAGAACTTCCGTGTATCAGAGTTATATCTACCTATACTTACTGTATTAGGTAATATAGAGACCATTTAAAAACACAAACATGTACAAATATATAGTCCATTAATCTTCAAAGCCACGCATCTCACCTTCTGTAGCCTCTGGAAAACAGGACTCCAAAGAACTTCCGTGTATCAGAGTTATATCTATCTATACTTACTGTATTGGGTAATATAGAAACCATTTAAAAACACAAACATGTACAAATATACAGTCCATTAATCTTCAAAGCCACGCATCTCACCTCATGTAGCCTCTGTGTACTTGTGATAAAATGAGAGCACAAAGGCAAATAGCATCTTAGTATTTTTTTAGAATAGTTTTGACCTCATGAGCCCCTTGAATGGTTCTCAGAGACCATTCAAGGTCTCTGAGAACAAATCATACTTTTAAAAATGCTGGCATATTTTGTTAAGGGAAAAGCAAGACGTGGGGCACTCAGCTGACCATGAGGCCATTATTCATTATATACAAACAATTTCTGAGTTATGGTGGTATATAAATGTATGTATATTACGTATTTAAATCATTGTCAAAGACTTAAAGGCAGCTTGTATATACTGTCCATACACATAAATCTTTAAATAAAGAGAAATTACCCCTTGTGAAGATTAGGCACCTTGTTAAGGATTCTGATCTGCAATGGGCAATAAGCTAGAATTGAAGCAAGGAGTTCAGTCTTCTATCCTCCTTTTAATTCTACTTGTAGCACAAATACCTGACTTGTTGAGTGTCCAGTAACACTTAAGGATCTGTTCATTCAGGAAGTGATTAAGGGGAAAGGAATTGTTTCTGAAATCTTAATTTTGAGAGATCGGGCCTTATGCTTTCTCGATGGAATAGAAAGTATTGTTATCATAATAGTTAAATGATTTTTAGAGCAAAAGAAAAAGCAAAGGGGATGAGCAGTGGTCTGAATAACTAGGAATCACAGTTCAGGTACATGTGAGGTTTGGGGTCCTTAACACCACACTAAACTGAACATTGTATAACTTACAGGTTTCACTACTCTATTAATATTAGTAGTAGATACTCATCTATTTTTAACATGTTAAAAGTTATATATTTTAAAGTATAACTTTCCATGAAATTACTTTTAGTGGTTCTTGAATTTATATAATTGTTTCCAAAGCGCTTTCACTGTTAACTCAGGTGATCCTTAAAAGAATCCTGTTAAATAAATCAAGTTGATATTATTATCTGGTTTTGTAAAACAGGAAACTGAGGCTCAGTGAAATGGCTTGCCTGTGGCCACATACATACTAAGTTGTCAAGTTAAAATCAGAACACAAGTTATTCTGTCAAGTGTGAGTTCCTTATATTTTAAAGCAGTATCTAATCATTGTTGATCAGCTCCCCCCCGC